TATGCTAATAAAGTCATAACATTACGAGAATAAAGTTGTCATACAATAACCCGTTTCAGAAAGAAGCTTAGAGCTCTGCCCAGCACCACCAGACAGCAACCTGAGTCCACTTTGACATACTGCCCAATTTTATTCTGGTGTGCTAAAAGATTTCCTTATTTGTCAATGTCACTCTCCGGGGGCGGCACTGCGTTAGAAGGAGGTGAGGCAATGCAACAAGACTTGGTGGAATATGTTTTATTGGTGCTGCCGTTCACCAATACACCGACACCCATTTTTCTCACTGCCAAGCACAGCAGCTTGCTTTAGCTTTTGGCCACTCCCACTCCACACCAGGTGAAGGGGTGACAAAACAACAATAAATTATTTACAAACCCAACACAAAATAAAGAGTACAAATAAATATTTACATGCATGCAACTTAGAAACAACTAATCCTAAAGTCAATCAAGAAANTACATAGGAGCTCTACAGGCAACAGGAACTTTGTTGTGTTTTTAAGACTCTTTTCAGAAAAGTAATTTTTCATTTTTGTTTTACAATGTAATAATGGATATCTTATAATTTGCTCTAAGATAAATTGCAATGATTGCACATAGATAAAATAAACCTTTAATCATATTTAATGCCATATTTAGTACGAATCAACTATTTTCCTACATATTGCTATAGCAAGTTTTATAGATAGGGTATATTATAAAAACAGTAGGGTCAAAAATCAGTTGCTGGTAGACAGAAGACAATTTGTTTTTTTTTTGTGTGTTTCTTAGTAATTATATTTTTGTGAAACATAATTGATTAATAAAATTGTAAGTCATACAAATACCATTTGTTGTTAATTTCCTAAGTAATCAATGAACTTTAGATGAGAAGATGAGAGATGGTGTTAAATACATATAATACTGGATGATATTTCTAATGAAGTTTTACCTAAAATCAAATAGCATTTGCAATCATTTTTAAAGGACATACTAGATACATACGGCTCTGAATCTCTAATAAATACACTTCTTGCTTCAGTTAACAATACTTTAAGTCGTTTGCACGACTGTTAGATAAATGGTAGTTTACTGCTTCTCTGTTGATATTACTATTTGATAAATATTAAAGTAAGGCTCAAATAAAAGTGAAAGTATTGGATAATAGGATAATAATGTGTCACTTAGGCAGTGCAACCTCATTATCCCGCAACCATGCATTAATAATTAATTGGCAAGAGACATTGTGGTTGTATAAGTGCATGGAAAAGGCATAACTCATGGCCAGTTGGTTCTAATGCACAAACTTAAGGCTTATGTGCATGTTGTCCAAAATGAACTCCTCTAAGCCTATTTTTGGATATATTTTTAAATAGTCCTACATGTGACTGGTAAAACTTCTGATTGTTCCGATTCCAAAGTTAATGCTCATAAATGAGCCTCATAATTAAAAAGGATAAACATCTCCGTTCCCGCCGATGTGTAAATGCCAAAAAAGGGTTTTCATACACTATTGGCAATATACATCAACAGGCCTGGGAAAACCTCCTCATAAAAGAACAAGGACTTTTTTTTAGCAATATTGGAAAAATATAAAGGCAGGGATATTCTTTCTACAGTTAAATTAAGGACAATTAACTTTTTTAGATCAGTTTTTGAGAGTATTTGTTTTAAGTTAATGTTTTGTTTTTTGAAACTTTAGTGGGGTTTTTTAATATATTGCTGTGATTATTATTATTATTCAATGTTTTTTTATTAATAGCTATGTTTAGTGATTTGTTCATGCGGTTTACACTTCAGGGCCTCCATAAAAAAGCTTTAAGGCATATTCTAATGCTCTCTGAAAGTTAGACATTGCCTCATATAGTTAAGATTTCTGAACAGATTGCACTACTAACAGGTAGAACTACATAAAACGTTCCTAGATAAATCAACAGTTTATGGGAAGTGAAATCAGTTATATATTTCTGCAGGAATTTCTGGAGAGCAAATTCACCAAATGCCTTTAAAATCCATCTGGGTCTTATTTTTGGTTATTCTGAGTTTTTCAGAAAAGTTGGCATAGTTGAAAGTGTTAGAACATCGTCTATTGGACTCCTCTGTGCAAAGAAGCTCATCTTCTCGCTCTGGAAAAAGACTTTAAAAGCCCTGCATCTCGGAGAGGACTCTGAATCAGTGGTGAACTGGGAGAGGTTGAAATAACATGGAGCCCACACAGTGAACAGTAATCCTGCTTCACTCAGGTATCACTGCTTAGAGGGGTTGGTTAGTGGGAGGGATAATATTGATTTAATAGTTATTCATTAAGTGATGTTTTTTTATTTAATCTGTTCATTTGTCTTATGTTTATTCCTGAAATGAGGAGAGTTGCTCTTTAATGACAAATTTTGTATTATTGTACTTTGGCCTTTCAATAAAAAACATTTTAAGACAGAAGAAAGTGTGAAAACAGGTAAAACAGGTAATTCTCAAACCTGATGCACTAGAAGCAGAACAGTCTCACTGAAAACATTCAGCTTCATGTTGTGCTTCTTTAAGAAAATCTAAGATTCATCCTCAATGATCCAA